CTGCTGTATATTTTATCACACATTTTTAATTTCTTTCACATTCTTTAATCTAATACAATAATAGTTAATAATATACTTTTAATATGTACATTTAGGTTGTAAGCTCAAGGAAATGGCCACAAATTTCGCGATACAGAGCATCTGTTCGTGCACAATCTGCAAGAGTTGAGATGATTGATGGTTTGTTTAAGCCTATTTCTCATGATAAAGATGAAGGAATGATAAGGTTAAAATTAATTCATATTTCATAAACATTTACGGATTTGAATCTCGAATGCTAAAAAGTATGGATGGATGTTTACATGATTTCAGGGAGCTGTTGGATGACTTCTATTTAAGCACTCCAAAGTTGAAACCGAAGAACATAATCATATTCAGAGATGGTGTAAGCGAATCACAGTTTAATCAAGTGCTCAACATCGAACTCAATCAAATCATTGAAGCGTGTAAGTTCTTGGATGAACAATGGGATCCGAAGTTTTTGTTGATCGTGGCACAAAAGGCTCATCACACAAAGTTCTTCCAAGCCAATTCAGAAGCTAACGTTCCTCCAGGTTTCCGATTTTGAAATTGTTTTGATTTGGATGAACAAAAATTGAATCTTGTTTGTGTTCTTGTGTTACAGGAACAGTGGTTGATAATAAAGTTTGTCATCCTAAGAGCAACGACTTCTATTTATGTGCACAAAATGGACCGATTGTGAGTATTGCGAAAGGATTTGTAAGATATGATTGTGATTAAAGAAATGATTTTGAATTGATTGTATTTGGGTTTTTTTAGGGTACTACACGACCTACGCATTACCATGTGCTTCTTGATGAGATCGGGTTTTCTGCTGATGAGTTGCAAGAGCTTGTTCATTCGTTATCCTATGTGTAAGTCGATAAAAACTTAATTTTTCTAAATATTAGGTCAAAATTACTAAATTAGTGATTGATTTGGGGATTTTGGGTTTTGTAGGTACCAAAGGAGTACAACTGCTATATCTGTAGGTAGGAATAATGTATATAAGATGCGATAATTAATTAATTATACATTGATTTTGTTACAGGTTTTAAAGTAGAATCTAATGATGTGAAAATGTTTATATATGCAGTTGCTCCGATCTGCTATGCTCATTTGGCGGCAGGACAGGTGGCACAGTTTGTGAAGTTTGATGACATGTCAGAGACTGCGTCTAGTCACAGTGGTGGTGGTGTGGGTGGTTCTACTTTCACCCAGTTGCCAAAGCTTCATGATAAGGTTTCTAGTTCCATGTTCTTCTGCTGAACAACAATGGTGGTTATGATTGATTTTTGATGATACAAACATGAATTCTTAAAGTATGTTATCTGGATATTTATGTTTGTTGATTGATGAGATTTTGAGAACATATTAACACATGGATGTTGATTTTTAGTTTTTTACTTGGATGCTTGCTATATATCGATTATAATCTTTTTGGGTGGAGTAATTTTCCTTCTATTAATATATTAAATAACAATCTACATTATTCATAAAAATATGTAAATAATGATTGCAATATCATAGTACTAGATGTGCTCCAAGGTTGCATTGTTGCTTTAAGTTTTATTGTATTTGTGATGTTTGATGTTTGATACTGTATCTAGAATGTTGCTTGTATAGATGATAATATATATTTACGTGTATCCACTAGTTTACTAATTTTTTTTGGCAAACATTAAAAATCTGTTCGTTGAAAATATTAGAAGTTAAGATTGGCGTAACAAGTATCATTTATTGCTGATAGGTTAGGGATCATGTCATATTTTGCAATAACATTTTTTTTCCGAAGTGGCTATACGACCATGCATATTGAATTCAACAATAATTGAGTATATGTATCTTAGAGCACCTATTATGGTATTCATAATAAATCTGATACATATTTTTTAACCACACCAAACATTATTGTAGCTGCATAACTGGGTGGGATTGCATAATGTAATGTAGTTCCATATATTTTTTTTTAACTATATAGTTCCTCTCAAAAGAGATACGCATTTTTAGGGTTTGGAATTGCATAATGTAATGTAGCAAGCCTCTTAAATGGTGATATTTGGGTTAATGCTTTTATCCTTAGATTTTTTTTTTTTGGGTAAATATCACTGTAACACAACTAACTGTCAAGTTCCGTTTTAAATGGTCCATCAATTTTTTTTTTTGACAGTGTAGGGGTATAAAGTCTATTTTTACCCATTAATAAGGGAGAATGCCTTAGAATTGTCGGTTTTCTTTATTTCCACTTTTTGGATTTGTAATTCGATGTTATTTAAGGATCTCTCATCTCCTACGACTAATCTTTTTGAAGTGTGGTTGTGTAATTCACTGAGCTCAACTAGTTAAAACGACATAAATTTTATGTTATTATATATCTATATGTTTTTATTTATCAGTATATCATTGTATTCAATTTCAGTTTTGTCAAATTTTTCCAAACTTAGAAGATAGATTTAATTGATTTTCACAGGATAAGTGTTAGGATTGAGCTAAATAATTGTTGTGTTACTTATTCTAAAGAGCATACATTGGTTATAGTCAAGTGAACCTATATTTTTGATTGAGTTAAATTAAGAAAATCTTGAAAGTCCTTGTACAATTTGGAGTTGAATTTAACCTGTAACCATGTGATGACAAACTAGCTTTAATCAAATCGATATTTTTGAATTTTTCGGTTTGGTTAACCGAACCGGTAAAATCTTTGATTTTTCGGTTCGGTTACGGTTAATGTTTTTTTTTTTGCTATGGATAGTTAACCGAAAAACCGTTTTTTTTTCTATTTTTAAAATATTGTTTATGTTTAATATCAAATTATTTGTTAGAAATTTCCAATTACAAATACTAATTGTGATATTTTTTATATTTTTCTTTTGAAAAGAAAATTCAAAGATTTGCATAAGTCTCTTGGATTTAATTATCATCGTACAACAAGTGAGATGGCAAACGGGCAACAAACTGCGCCGCTAAGTCTTTTTGTATAGCAAATCTCAATCTTTTAAAGACTACATTCATAGAACTAGGGGATACCATTGCAATGCATAATCTCTTGTACTCTATTAAGAAGCTCTACCGCATCTGTTGCTAGGAAACCAAACGTATCAAACGCAAATGGTATGAACATGTGTTGATTTTCCATGCACGATTTCTCATGTTTGTCGACTTTGCTGGTAGCAGCTTTTAAAGCAGTTAGTCCTGCCGTTAAACCCCCCGCCCTCAATCCCACGAGAGGGGATACCCCTGTAAGGTCCACACATGCATGTTTCCCTCCGACCTATCCAAAAATCAAAATGTCAGCCGGTCTAAGGGTTGACCTTCCTTCTGTCGGGTCAGTCAAGAAATTCACAGGTGTCTCTTTCTTAGCGGAAACTCTTGCACGCTTGAATATATCGAACAAAACATTTCTGACCATATCGTGCTTGTATTTGAACCCCGAGAGTTTTTTTTACAGTGAACTGCATGCTCTCCAAAGGAGTCCAAACATGTCTTGCGACACACCAAACATATCTCGTCAGCTGGAAATATTGGAATCATGAGTCGATATTTGAGGATAGTACGATAATCCACAGGAGACATATGTTGGTCAATCCCATCTATAGGGATAGCAAGAAGAAAATCTTGAGCATGTGGTGCACGTAAGCACTGGAAAACCGCTTTCTGACAGGCCGTCATGTCGAGATGAACTTCCATATCTTGGACAATTTTACGAAAAAGGGCACTCGCCAGCGTACTCTGGGATTTAGGGGGGGGGGGGGGTGGTGTCTTTAGTAGTAAAACTGCTAATGTCAGAATCTGGAAGCTTGTTACGAAGAGAAGCCAATGCACCATCATAATCAGAATCCATACCATATATGCCGCTATCCCGTAATATGTGGTCTTGCAATACCCAAGTTTGGGCCCTTGAGGCAACAAAAGCATATGAAGTAGCCTCTACTGCTGAGTATAAACCCAAACCACCAAACCTAATGGGTAAGGAAGCAATGGTTGATATCCATTAAAATTATCTTTTTCATTTCACATAAATAAATAAATATTTGACTATCTTTTATTTATTAATTAAAAAAATACATTTTTATTTAGTCGATATTATTTACCATATTCCATGGATATTTGATAATTCATCATAATTTCAATAGAAACAACAATATAATTAACCAAAGTATATGGATCATTCATTGTCATTCGTTCTTTTTAAGGAAATTTGTTATGTGGTTCGATAATCTTAACATATATTTTTTTTAATTAGTAACGATTAATTGGTTAACCGGATAACCACACCGAAAAAATTTGTGTTTCATGATCGAAGCGAATACATTGACATTGAGCATACAACAGTGTGTTAAAAAGGGACAAATTTTAGTCAAATACAAATTCAAAGAATCAATGAGCTAGCACTTTTACCAAAACGTCGACACACCTAAAACACAAACGCAATAATAAATACCGAGTTTAATTTCGTTTAAGGGGGAGAACGTGATATTTAAACTGGCTTAATAGCTAGGTACGATAGTTAGATAGTATTCGGGATAAAAATGTTGTATATCAATGTTATATAGCTTCTTTTGATTAAAATAATGCTCAACCCATGTTCTCCAAATCTTGTTGATCTATACACCAATCAATCCTCAATGTGTTCTAAAGATGTCTACATATATTTAAATAATGATAATATGCTTAAGTCTAGTGTATTTTAGCAATTTAATATTAAAAAATTTAGGCTATTTCAAAAGCGTTTCTTCCAGCTTTGTAACTATCCAATTGTAACCTTTTCTTTCATTTAGAAGACTATTAGTTGTATCCTTGTGTACAGTTTATTTTTTGTGTTTCTCACAACTTTATATAGCTCATATAGCTTAAGAACTTACTTTATCCTCAATATTTAGCATATAATTAGTTCCAACATTCTAAATGAAAATCAGCATCCAGTGAACATAGTTAAACTAAACTAACTTCAAGAATTCATCTGTTCATCAAATCTCCTAAATCAGTCATCACCATTGTGTTCAGCAGAAGAACATAGAACTCCATACGTTTTTATGAAGCTTGGGCAGTTGGGTGAACCCACCACCACCACCACCACCACCACCGCCACTATGACTAGATGTGGTGTCCGACATGTCATCAAACTTAACAAATTGCGCCACCTGTCCTGCCGCCAAATGAGCATAGCAGATCGGAGCAACTGCATATATAAACATTTTCACATCATTAGATTCTACTTTAAAACCTGTAACAAAATCAATGTATAATTAATTAATTATCGCATCTTATATACATTATTCCTACCTACAGATATAGCAGTTGTACTCCTTTGGTACCTACAAAACCCAAAATCCCCAAATCAATCACTAATTTAGTAATTTTGACCTAATATTTAGAAAAATTAAGTTTTTATCGACTTACACATAGGATAACGAATGAACAAGCTCTTGCAACTCATCAGCAGAAAACCCGATCTCATCAAGAAGCACATAAGAAGCACATGGTAATGCGTAGGTCGTGTAGTACCCTAAAAAAACCCAAATACAATCAATTCAAAATCATTTCTTTAATCACAATCATATCTTACAAATCCTTTCGCAATACTCACAATCGGTCCATTTTGTGCACATAAATAGAAGTCGTTGCTCTTAGGATGACAAACTTTATTATCAACCACTGTTCCTGTAACACAAGAACACAAACAAGATTCAATTTTTGTTCATCCAAATCAAAACAATTTCAAAATCGGAAACCTGGAGGAACGTTAGCTTCTGAATTGGCTTGGAAGAACTTTGTGTGATGAGCCTTTTGTGCCACGATCAACAAAAACTTCGGATCCCATTGTTCATCCAAGAACTTACACGCTTCAATGATTTGATTGAGTTCGATGTTGAGCACTTGATTAAACTGTGATTCGCTTACACCATCTCTGAATATGATTATGTTCTTCGGTTTCAACTTTGGAGTGCTTAAATAGAAGTCATCCAACAGCTCCCTGAAATCATGTAAACATCCATCCATACTTTTTAGCATTCGAGATTCAAATCCGTAAATGTTTATGAAATATGAATTAATTTTAACCTTATCATTCCTTCATCTTTATCATGAGAAATAGGCTTAAACAAACCATCAATCATCTCAACTCTTGCAGATTGTGCACGAACAGATGCTCTGTATTGCGAAATTAGAGGCCATTTCCTTGAGCTTACAACCTAAATGTACATATTAAAGAAATCATAATCGTTTTTTTATAAAATTAAGAAAAAAAAGAATATTAATTATTACGAACAGCAGCAATTGAAGGAACATCCGCACGTCCAGGTGACCCATGAGAGACATCCATCCCAAAGATTATCGTGGGAGTCCGTGACACCAATGGTATAGCATTTGCAAACTCCATTGACAACAAAGAGTTTATTCCACCCATCTGAAAAAATAAATAAATAAATAAACTGACTCGAGTTTTTTCAGAATATTAAGAAAAGAAAGGAATTGAAGTAGAATCGTGTGTTTGGTTTGAAAATCAGACCTTTGCGTTGACCTTGAGAAGCACGTTTGTGACATACTGGTCGTTGATCCTAGTTGGGGCAATGCATTGTGTGACAATCCCATGGTCAACAAGGCATATTCGCTTCCACGGACCTATTATATATCCGTTTTTTTTTTAACAAATTAAAATCAGTCTAAATCAAACAAAGTAAACCCTAAAAGATGAAGGAAAAGGGTAAAAAGTAAAAACCATAGATATCTGAATTCTTTCGTTCAGGGAGGATGCATAGAATAAAATAAGGTGGGCCCTGAAGTCTCTTTTTTATTGCTTCAAACATTTTGTCAACACGAACACGAGCAGGACTACGTTTGAATTGAGGGTTCTCATCGAGTACACCATGTGGTGGATCAAGTTCCTGTAAATATCATCATCACCCGTAATTTTTATTTGATTTTTATAAGTTTTTACTTGTGGATATATTACAAATAGATGATTTATGTGGGAGAACTCACGATTCCTTTTGCTTGACAACAAATGCGGAGGTTGTTCTTAAGGGCATCCATGTCACATCGTGCAGAAAAGTTGACTACAACCCAATTGGCGATCCTTTTTGGCTCAATAAGTGTCTGAAGACCAATAACTAATCGTTAGATGAAGTGAAAAAAGTTAAAAAAATAAATGTAACAATGGTTAAAATGAAGAATATTGACCTTGTTGTTGAAGTTCCATCGACCGCCACGTGGCACCATGTCCCCACCTCTCCCGAACTTCAACTGTGAAACAGTACAAACCAAACACACGTGAGTGATCAGAAAATTATCGAACAAATAATAATAATAATAATAATAATAATAATAATAATAATAATAAGTACTTTTGGAGGTTCCAAAACTCGACCCTCAACTTGTGTGAAAGTGGTACTGATTGTAATCCCAGTGGCATTAATAAGAGGATCAGCACCATAGTTATTTTGATTCAGTGCCTGAAAAGAAAAATTCAAAATGTTTTTTTATTACTATTTAACATTTTCTAATTTCATAATTATTATTATTAAGATATAGAAGCTTACACCAGTCAATGCTGCCATTCGATCACGAGGCTTTTGTCTTGACTTCTCAACAAGTGAAGCTCTTTGTAGATTAGACAAAGCCTTGGTGTATCGTTGTAGGGAAATCAATTCACACAACTGTAAAAAAGAAACATAAAAAGGATTTACATTAGATTTTGAGCCATTGAGTGATTAATATTTGTTCACAAAATCTAAAAAGATTTATAGGACGTATATTATTACCTCAAGTGGGATATAAACTGGTCGCTTTGGTTTTCCAACATCAAGACATGGGCAATCAACAGAGTATTCAAGGCGTCTTCCGTGATGATCAGCATAGTATTGTAACACCGTTATGTCAATTGTCTCACTTGGGCTATTTCCATCTCTTTGATTCTTTTGTTTCATTGAAAACCTACAAAATTAATCTTTTAGATTTCAAAAAAAGGAAAACATTATATAAAAGTAACAAATAGAACCTACATTTGTTCTCTACATGTTTTCTCGCTCAACCCAATAATTTTGTACTCACGATTAGAGGGGAAGGTCTTGACACGCAAATTCTTGAGCATTCTTTTAGCCTAATCACCAAAAAAAGAATCAAGATTAGAGAATATATAAAATCAATAAAACCTATTTATACATATTTAAAAAACAAATCAAACTTGTTACCTTCACCCAATCAATCTCCCTAATGTTACGAACATTTTGGTTCTCACAAAGAAAGTCCACAACTTTCCCTGGCTTCACAATCATTGTAGTCGATACATCTACAAAAGATTAATCAAATCAATGTTGATTGATAATACAAAATAAATAAATAAATGTTTAGTCTTTTTTACCCATGTTCAAACTCAAACCAGATTGAGTGGCACGAAAACTAGAATGAAAACCCCTACACCCCACAACACCACCTCCAATTCCTATAAAGTTTCGTGAGTCATTCTGGAAGTAACACTGTTTAACCAGAAGACAACCTCTGTATATATATAATCCAAAAACAATCCATGATTAATGTTATATTGAATATATCATAAATATAATTTCTTGTTTCCAAATGTATATGACTTACTGTTTCGCAACGTGTTGTCTAAGAAGAACATCTAAAACCCTAACAGCTTCATGGAATTGCTCAGAATCATGACCTTGAAGCGCATTAACAATGGCTTGAATCGGGATCTTTGTAGCATAACTTATAGTCACCTTAAATTGCTTTGACTGAGGCACACGCCTCGATCTCTTTGTTTCTCCATCACTTGGGCTTCCACCTCGGATAGTTCTATACAAACAATTCCACGTGTTTGTTAATTGTTAGCAAACAAGATTCTTAAAACGAAAGTCAAAAGTCAAACATTGTGTATAACCTATTTGATGCGGCATTCTCCAAAACAACATTGAACTCGAGCTTAGTTCTAGGTAAAGAACCAACGGTAAAAAGAGTCTTTTCACCATCATACGCAAATCCTTTCCCGCCCATTTCAGATTCGTAGGTTTTATGAACCATATCGAGTATTTTTCTTCCGATCCCTTTTGCCTCGATTGGATTTCCATCTTCATAAAATAACGCAACCTGAAGAAGAGATATTTGTGATTTATAAGGTAATAAACATTAATACATCATACATATGTTATGATATATGGTAGAATATATATAGTAGAAAACAGTTGAAGAGATACATACACTATATTGATAGAAGTGGTCGTTAGTCCTGCTTAGTTTCACGTTGAAATGGTTGGTCAACAGAGAGATCCTTTGACCTTTAGTGCCCAATTCACGCCTGGCCATTGGACGGCGGTTTGACTCGTTGACTTTCGCCGGAATAAAATTTGGTGGAATAGGCGGAGGTGGTGGTAATTCTTGCTTCATTTAATTTCGATATAACTGAATAAGAATTGAATTTACACTTGAAGGTAAAGATAGTTAAACCTAAAATAATTCCATAACCTAAAAACCTACCAATTATTTAAAAAAAATATGTTCAAAGTGGCAAAATACACACCCATGTGAATGTGATTTCATCTTTATTTATTTTTTTTCCAGAAAAGAAACCCTGTTATATTGTTTGAACAGAAAGTGAAATTCAACAAAAAAAAGTAAATAGTCTATATACTCATAGGAAAACAGTGGAGCACGTAAGATCTTTAGCTATACCCAGAATAGAAAGTAAATCATTATATACGTATAATGTATAAATTATATACGATCACACAAACAAATACAGTAATACACACTTCGCATTCTTATAAAAAGAAAACCAAGAATCCAATCAATAAAATCATCATACACAGTTCGATAAATTATCTAAAAAAAGAATGGTTTCTACATGTAATGCAGAAAAAAGAGCAAAAACATCGAATATACGCATGCATATAAATAAACATTAAACACACAGATTCGATAATCCTATTAATAGAATCATACATGTTCGATCAAAAAAAACATGGAACGTATAGGTATTTAATAAATACAAAACCCACACAAAAAGAGCAAATCATACTATCATACAAAACACACACACACTCACACACACAATGTAATGCATGTATATAATACTCCAATACGTATATGCTTTTGTATACAGATAGCTAGACAAAGAATGAAGAAAAGCTTCTTTACCTAGCTTAGAGCGAAGCGATATCCGGCTGTATAACGAAAGAGAATATAACGAGATAAATACAATGGAGAGCAAAACCCTACAAAAAGGGTTGTTAATCGATATTCATCAGGGAAACGGAAGGTTTTGTTCTTCGAAAAGGAAGGTGAAGATGGTGAAAGATGAGAGAGAAACTATTACTGCTGCTGCAAGGGTAAAAATCGTGTTGGCGCTACAACATATATTCTTCCACGAGTTTCCTTTTTCTTTACTTGAATTGTAAATTACTTTGTTACGCTCGATTTTTATTTACTCTTAGCGATAAGCGTTGGGCTGTTTTGTCTTTTCATTTAGTAATATTGGCGATTCCGTGTAATCATTCCTATTGAAATCGTTAAATCTATATATTTAAATTTAATTTTTTTATTTTGTGTAGATAATCTTTATAGATTGTGACATTCAATTCTTTTAGCTACAGTTTTATAATATCGAGGATTTGCTCTTAAAAGTTTTTTATATGGAGTTATCAAAATTTTACACGACTTGGGACCTAATATTTCTCTTTATGATATTTATCAATGCTGTATTTTCAATAAAACAAAGGCAACATATTTTTCAATGATGTTTTTATATAATTTAACATAACTATTTATTGTGCCTGATCCGCTAAATGGGGATTTAATGCAACTTTACATAAACTTCTATAATTAAAAATTTATTTGGGTTATTTTATGGTAAATATCGAATTTGGTGAAAATCTAAAATTTATCTTGAAGTTTATACTTCATATTTTAATTAAAATAGCTGTAAGTTTTAATGTGAAATTACTTGCATATAGTATAAAATGTGATAGAGCATCAAATTTAATAGTTATCTTTAATATAAAGCAAAGAAAACTAAAATTAGAATCCAATCTTGATTTGGTTTAAGGTGCAATTGCAAATATGTGGTTTTGGTTTTAATTATATTGAATCTCGAGTCAAAATATCCATTGGTTTGGCGTGAGGTAGGTTTGAAATTTCACGTGGAAATATATATCTAGTATATCTAGGGTTATAAAATTACATCCTTGCCATATTTGGAACTTCTAAAAACATATATTTTTATTAAGTGTCCACTTAGATTTAAAAAACAACACGATAAAGTATCTAATAACTCGATCTCATTCAAAACTCGTTTACATATATGGTAGATACTAGGGTTTGTTGAGATACCAAATTGTCATTTTAATATGAAACTAAAAAATTATAAATAATGTCAAATACCGATACACCTATAATATGAAATTTAGTGATAGGTAGTTCTTGTTAGAAAAATTATGGTAGAAACTATAATATTTTTAGTTAAATCGTATGAGAAATTAAATACACTCCTACATTTTGTTCCTACCTATTTAAGATGATGATAAATATACAAATTTAATATCTCAATCAAATTTAAATTAAATTTAATTATACTTGTCACTATCTAAAATAGATAGGAAGATAATAGGAATAAAAAGTATAAGGATATTCAATTTCTCAAATCGTATATCTTACGGATTGTGTACGATCAATTTCTTTGTTGATATGTCTCCCGTCCAATGTCTAAGTTGCAAAAGATTCAACTTGACATAATCCATAAGGGTTGATGGAATCGTTCCCACCGAACTTGTTGAAGTCGGTGAAGCAATCGAACCCAAGGTGGAGGGAGTCATGATCTTGCTGATCCAGCCCAAGTCGGATCCCACCCAACCCATCTTCCCCATTTTCCTTCTTTGCTTCTAACCTCCAACGGTTTCTTGAACCCCCAACACCCTCTCTTTCTCTCTTGCTCTCCTCCCGCCGATCCCTCTCCTCCTTCCTTCTCCCTTGTCAAACCCGCTCAACTACTCCCTCCATCCCCACCCTGCTATGATTATGTCCCCACTAAGTATCACTTCAGGTTTTAGGCACAAAAACAAAGAGTTTGAATTTGAAAAAGCATATTAATGACTAATTTTCGTAAAAGATATATAAATATTTAAAATATGAGTATATTTACTCATTTATTCAGAGTTTGCATAGACAATAAACTTTATGTATTCTATAATTAAAAAATGATTTTTAAAAAACTGTATTGACGGATGGGCTAAAGCTATCACAAACAGCTTGGGTTGCCAGTTTTACCAAGGCAACTTGGACTGTTAGTAGGGGTGAACATAAAAACCATAAAATCGGACAATATCAAATTAACTGATATAACAATTACATTATGTACGAAAAATAGTGATGCAATTTCTTATTTCCTTAATTCCTTTAATCAAATGCAGTTAGTTCGGTTTCACTTTTATTGTAAAAATGTTTCATATATAACCAAATCGAACCACTATATAGAATGACTGTTTAAAAACATAAAAATATTTTATCTAAGAGGTAATTATACTAACTAAATAAGGAATTAAAATTGAAGAGAATATGTGATGCTAAAATATAAATATCACCACTATAAATTTTAACGAAAAACAATGAACTTTCACTTTTTTCTTTTTAATTGTGACATACTTAGTGATTTTCATTACTTATACCAATATTCTTTTTGTTTTTTTACTTTTAATTGCAATGTATTTTTTTATGTTTATCTTACTTTGGACCATTATGATAATTAATATTAACTGATAACCAAAACCATTCACAGATGAAAAGTGTTAAATGTAACCAATCCAAAATGATAACCCATGGCTACTAAAATGCATTTGTTATTATATCTTGTGTTATATGTATTGTGCTCTGCATTAGCCCGCATAATTGCCCACCTTATATTTAGCCCATATGTATTTGATGTGTATATATTGCCTTTGTATTGTACAATGTAAGGTAATGAGAATGATTTGATTTTCATTCTATAATATGGTATCAGAGATTCTCTCCTAAAATCTCTTCATTCCTTCTTCTCTTCTTTCACCGTCGACAACTCCTTCCCCAAAACCTAAAAATTTATTCTCTTCTCCTTCATATACGACTCCATGTCATGCCCTACAACACCACCACCACATAAATTGTTTTGTGTCGCAAACATCAAATCTCATTATCTGCTCATACTTGATCTAGAAAGAATGAATTACGATGCTTGGAGTGAATTATTTTCCCATTGTGAAGCTTACAATGCAATAGATCATATTGATTCCATATATCATTCTCCCACACTACAACAAACTTATGCAAACTAGAAGAAAGTGGACTCAGTTGTGAAAGGGTGGATTTATACCACTCTCTCACAAAACCTTCTCAATATGATCATCAAAAAATACGTTCTTGATCATCACGTTTTGTTCACTATCAAACTTTTTTTCGTGACTACAAAGACATAAGGGCCATCCAACTTGACACCAAACTACACAACATTTCTAATGGTGACCTTAGTGTTAAGGCCTATTACACAAAGATCAAGTCTATTGCCAATCTTTTTGAGAATCTCGACCCTTAAGACAAGATTCCCGATAAAAAAAAACCTTGTCAGTTATGCCATTAATGGCCTTTCTTATTGATTTGATTATGTTTATAGTACCATCCACCACTGATGTTTCAATCGTTTGAAGACACCCACTCCATTTTTTTATCGGAGGAACAACAATTCAACTTCATATGGCTGCTCCTACGCCGGTTCATAGTGACCACCCCTCATCACTATCCATACTCCATACCACTTTTGACAACAACTGTTGTCATGAGTGCTGCCATAACAGTCGTCCTTCACAGAATCGACATCGAAAACAGGGAACAACAACAATGGTCCAACAATAATTGAACCCGTATTAGCGCCCTTGGAGCTCACCTCACAACCTGTCAACTATCAACAATGGATTGTTCAATACCGACAACCCACTCCTAGTATTCTCTCACCATCTCCACAATGGGATCCCTTCTCTGTTGCATAAGCCCATATCACTGCTCCTGCTACCTCATCACTCCAACCCAACTCAGCCTCAATCACACCACTTTAGGCTTGGTTTAGTACTAAACAATAACCTATATCCTATTCCTCAAATGTTTAACTCGATGTTACTTCAAGAGTCAACCGAATGGGTCATGGATATGGGCGCAACGGATCATGTGTATGTAAATCAAGGTATACTCCATTCTCTTATTGATAAGAATGTATGTCATAATATCCTAGTTGGAAATGGGACCAAGATATTTTTTTTGTGATTGCACATACCCTTTTCCCTCTTAAAACTAACCATTGACCCCTTTACCTAAATAATGTCCTCATCACTCCCTCAATCATCAAAACTTTTTTTTTTTTTTTTTTTTTTTTTTTTTTTTTTTTGTAAATT